TTTTTTTTTTTCTTTTTTTTTTTTTCTGCATTTAACCTTCGTCTTGCACTTGTCTTTATTGTCTTTTGTTTGCATGGAGGCTGTAGGTTTTGCTTCTGGATGAAAACAGTTTTTTTTGTCCATTACTAATGGTAGCTGATAATGTCTTAGAGGGAAAAGAATACATGTTACTCGTGACTCGTCAGCAGCGGAGTTGAAGACGGAAGGACCGGATTCTAGATCTAACAGCGGGAAACGACAGCATTTGCTAGCGCGTTTAGTACCTCGATGGCACACTGAATACTCACCAAGTGCTCTTCTTCATGGGTCTGCACATTCTGGATTTTTAGTGGCATTCTGTTATCATGTATCACAGTTTCAGTTGTTGTGGTTGAAGCTTTGGTAACTGTTACAGTTTTAACGTAACTGATAATGCTTTTCATAATTTAATCAGTATTTTAATTTTTTTTTTCCACCTGTTTATGGGCTAAAACGCTTAGATAATAACAACAACATGCTTCACTTCCCCATCCTCTACACCAGCTTCTTGTTGGTATTAATATTATTTTTTGGATAAGAAGGTTGGGGAGAAGAGTTGTTATTGGTAATAAACATTATCTTTTCCTGTAGTTAGGTCTTGCCTTTGTTTGACCTTCTAATTATGAGGTGACTTTTACTCGAAATTTTTCAGCAGGTTTTCTGTTCGGGTGTAAAAATAGCTATTTTTTGTCTACAATCTGGTTGTAACTTTTCCATTTTTGGAAGTAAAGTGAAATGCTTTATATATGAACAGATATTTCTTCATAAGTGCAACAGAAGTCCTAAGAAAAAAGTATTATTCTAAGCACATAGTTCTATCTAATTCAGTTTAGTACTTTACAATTTCCGTTTTTCTCTGATCTATCTCTTGGATTTTTCGTAAGCTTCGAAAGTAGGATAGAAGGAGTCTTGAAGCGTCTTAGTTTTTGATGACTTATTTCTGGTGTAACAGTTGGTTATGCCTAGCAATTTGAAGAGAATAATTGGAACCTCGTGTAATTAGTGATTTCTAAATTTTCGATCATGCGCATTTTTCGGTTGTAGAAAGGTTGGTAGAATATTAACATATACGCCACGAACGGCTACTGGACAGCGCGACAAAACTGCAGCTACTCGGCTTCTCACTCGTACTCATACTCTCGATGGGCATACTAAATCTGTTCTTTCTCTTGCTGCAGACGAGACAAAACTTTTGACTGGATCGAAAGGTTTTAGACTATAAACAGTTTTTTATCCCCAGAATCGATTAGAGTGGCCAGTTTTTATCTTGTAAGCTATGCCCTTTTTAGACCGTTTGGTTAAACTCTGGGATCTGGAACGCGGTGTGGAGAAGTGCACGCTCGGATTGCACCCAAACAATGTTCTTGCTGTCAAATTCATTCCGGGTACAGACTTGGCGCTTAGCGTTTCTATGTCAACAGTACGTTTATGGGATCTGCGGATGGAGAGATGTATCCGCATACTGTTGTCATCTGGCCTTGCTGTTGACGGTGAGATGTGTATGAAACTATATCCTAATATTTGTAGTCTTATACTAACTTTGCAACTTATTAATCTGAATAATCTTGAAACTCATGTCATCTTCTAATTCGCAAAATTATTGGTTTTTACCATTTAGCTGACTCGATTCCGTCGAATACGTCTCGACAGAATACTGTGCCCATTTCGGAGACAGTAATTACTGCTGCAGACTTAGATCCTACCGGAAGGTTATATAAAATGATTTTTTTCCTTTTTTAAATTTTCGTTTCTTTTTTAATGCAGTTAATATGCTCTAGCTGTACTTTTCTGGGAAATTTAGGTTGTTATTTACTACTTTTGCTGGAGATGTCCGTATATGGGACTTGGAAAAAGTTGCTGCTTACGGTCGTTTAATCTCAGCTCCACACAGTCCTCGGTAGGAGGCATCAGCCTTGCTTAAGCAACTTGTTCAAGCTTATCAGCTTTTAAATATGCATAGGCAAAGAGTTTAAAAACCAGATTTGACTGCTGTTTTTTCCACTAATTTTTTTTTCTTGAGCAACATTTTATTATTTGATCAGCCGTAATCACTACAATCAATTTTAAAGCTCTGAAGTTTCTTGTCTGGCTGTTACGAATGACCGACCACCTGTAGTTTTTACTGGTTCAAGAGACCACTACGTCAAGATGTATGAAGTAACAGCGCCTAACGGAGAGGGAATGTATGAAGCTTGTGCCGAATTTGTGCCTCCTCATTATGATAACGTTACGTGTATCTTACCCTATGGGGATTCTGTGTTTACAGCATCAAAGGACACGGTATCATTCATTATTGTTAGGAATAAATTTTTACCTTTGTTTGCTTTGTATTTTTGGTTTGTTTTATTGAGTTATAATAAATGCTTTCCAGAACATTATGAGGTTTTCTCTTCGAGATCTGAAACGAGATCATCTTGAACTAAAAGCGCATAATAAATGGATACTTGGTATGTGCTTACTTGAAGGGGACGCCCCGATTTTAGCTTCTGTTTGTAAAGGCGGCGCAGTTAAACTTTGGGATATCACCACAACAAGGAAGATCAGGCTAATTGAAGAGGTAATTCTATTAGCAACTTGCAGTTACCTTGCTTAGTGTTTTTTATAGCTAGACCAACATTTTTTTCAAATGAGTTACTTTAGGGATTTACTTTTATATCTTTAGATCAGCCAAGCGCATGCGGAAGCGATAAATTGTATAACCACAAACTCCCGAGTTGTGTTTACAGCTTCCAAGTATCTTTTTTTCCTTTCCAATTTTTTTGGATCGTAGAATCATAGTGGACATTGATATTACGAAATTTCTTCTTGCTGTTTTTGATTCATGTTAGTATGCCCAAAATGCTTCAAAGAGAGAATACAGTCCCCAATTTTTTAAAATTTTATTTTGATTTATGACAGTTTTTATCTCATAATTTCATTTTAGTGATTCTACTGTTGGCTTCTGGCATTTATCGCGAGATGCATCATAAAAATGTGCCGCATACAGATGAATTCAATAACAGTATTTCCGAAATTGCCGCTACATGACATTTTCTATAAAAGTCGTGTTGATCGGGCGCCTGTTAGGTCTTCTTTTTTTACTTTTAAACAATATTCTTTAAGCCTACAGGATGAATTTCAGACAAGCTAGAATACGAGATATATTGAAGAACTTTATAGTGGATTTAGGCACACTATGTTATTAATTATCTTCTTTGTATATAATGTTTGTTGATGGTTGGTACGGTTCTTACTTTTGCCTACAGAAATTCGTGTAGAATATGAATTTACTGAAGACTGTTAACGTTGTTTTGCTGCTTTGCATAATCTTCTGGAAGTTCTTCTGTTTTGAGCTTTGAATTATGTTAAAAAATTACCTCACTTCTTTTTCTTTTATCTTCTTTGCTTCTGTTTTTTTTTTATTTGGAAGAGTCTTGCTGCTTTTTAGTTCTTTTTTTATTTTTGTAAATAAGACCTGTTTTGTTCCCAATCAAAGTTCCACTTTAAGTGAGAGGTGTGCTGCGTGAGTGTGTTTGCGTGTATGAGTGTTTGGGTGCTTGTTTATGATATGGTTCAGTTTATGTATTCATTTGTGCTAATTATGTTCACTTTGTCATCACATACGAGTCATTCTTTTTTGATTTCACTTTCATTATTATAATATAATTTCTGTGCATTTTATCTAGTCAAGCGACATTTTACTGCATAAGTGATTTGAGTTTTCCGCAGGCATTAGGTGATTGAGTCTGGTATGTCCTTCATTTGTTCGCAAAGCTGCGTTTATAAACTTGTGTATTTCAAAGAATACAATTTTTCGAACAAATTTGCGAGCACGTTTTAGCATCCGGTGATTATAATACTGTTTTTTTCTTTTTTTTGTTTTGTGATGCAGATAATTCCAGGCGAAATTGTCTCAACTCTTCTGTATTTAGAAAAGTCTCTCTGGCTTATGGGATGATAATCATTTTTGGTTGATTACAAAGAAAACGAAGTAGAACTTTACTAGAAGGTTTTTATGGATTAGTAACCGTAAGACCAGACTAAACTTGTTGCTTCATCAAACTATTTGAACTATCTTTTTGTATTTACCGTCATTGTTTTATTAACAATCACTATTATTTTATCCTCGTTTTCCGCAGTTCCTTGCATTTGCAGCAGGAGACGCTTTTTAACTTTCCTATCGTGAAAAAATGCCTTGCATTGTCTGTTTGTTTAAAAAACCAGGTGCCTTGAAAATAAAGCTTTTAGTACTTGTACACCGGTTGTTTACTATGTAGCTCCCACAATTTTTAGTAAAGCAGTGTTTTTCATTAAAGGTTCTCGCACATTATTTATTTGAAACCGTGCCTTAGGTCCAAAATGTATAGGGACACTGCACTGGATAAATTTTGCCTCTATTGTAGCCTGGTCTTAGCAGTTACTGTCGGTTTGCTGATGGTTCATGTGAAAGTTCATTTTTGATTTGTTCTGAGAAGCACTGATTGATATTAGTAAGATGAACTTTTGATATTAGAGAGTAGTGAGGCTTTTAACTTCCAACACTGCAGTTCTGACCGACCAAACCAGTGGTGTGTGCTATTTCAGCGAGCACATGCTTCACTTGCAGTAACGAAATTGTAGATGACTTTAATGGGGGGTGCAAATGTTTCTATCACTGAGGTGCCTTCGTTCCACTTGCAGAGTGCCTAAGGCACAGGTTACCACATGGAAGCACAACAAGAAATAATGATAAGGCGCCGATTCAAATATTTGTTTTTTGATGAACCTAAGTAGTAACCCTCTTTTATTAGGCAGTAAAACTGTGCTGATGTCACTGTCTCTCGCAGTTTAGTTTTCATGTATTTCAAATATGCCCAAGTAGTTTCGGAGCAAGCGAACAAACCAGTCCCACAATTTTAAGTTGGAATTACCGAAAGACTTTTTTGCAGATCTTCTCTTCGTCACTAACAACCTATGAATACTTCATTGATTTTGAGGAGCAAAAAGCCGTACATTCTATGGAAAAGCAGTACCACGGTTAGAGGCAAAAAATAACTCTTGTTTGTGAAGTCAGCGTTTTAACTCTCAACTGTCGGCTTTCTGCCCTTCCTGTCTATTGTAGTGCCAGTTGTACCTCAAAAAGGTTCAATAGCATTATTCATCGCTTCTTTATTTTTCCCGGTTACTCTGTTTAAATCTTCCTCTTTAAGATATCTTCCGAAATCGCAACGGTTTTTTTGAACAAAGTTCTGAACATATTAATACTCAGCTTGGCAAATAAAACTTATTTTTTTACGGATATGAATTTTTCGTTAAAAAAATTATTATCTAATGAACCACATGCAAATGTAAAAAATTCTAAAAACACATTGTTGCAAAACAGTTAACGGCCAAGAGCAGATGAATATATCTGTGACTAAGACTGAACAGTATAGCGATTTGAGCCAGTTTAGCATTGTACAGCCGACGTGTCAAACTCACCAATCGTTTAAGAAATTTAAAAGTATTTTGCAAATATCTTAATGTTATCTTTAGAAATTATAAGTCCTTGGAAAGTCTTGTGCGATCTTTTACTTTTTTTTTTTTTTTTAAACTGTCATTTCTAAACTGTTCCAAAAAAAAAAATTGGGTTTTGCAAGAAATTTCTGATAACGCAATAGATCTTTGCTCCGTTATCATGGTGCGTCCTCAACCTACTCTGCTGTTCGTTGACCACCTTACTTTGCCCTATAAGGTGCAATATACACCACTATTATTAACAAATTATAAAAAGAATAATGTATATTAGATTGAACTTCACGCTTTATAAATTATTTCACATTGATTATCCGCTCTGGAGTTACCGATTACAGTAAAAACTTTTTTTTTGAAAAAAAGTTCTCGAACAGTAACTACAATATCGCCTTATTTTACACTCATATACCCTGAAAAAAAATAAGCAAAATTTTCAGCGGAGACTAGCCTACTTACTTGTGTTCAGTGATTCAAGTATAACATCGAGCAGTAACGTCAGTATACTTCTCAACGCTAATAGCTAATAAACGTCGGTAAACTTCTGGTTGATGCTAATGTGAGGTAAATAATACTGAATGCAGCACAAACTTTTACTGCAATCCAATAAAAATTAATGACGATGAACTCCAACTCAGCATTTCTGAAACAACAGAAGTGAGAGGAGCATTTCGTAAACGAAGTAACGCTCAGAATAACACAGCCTGTAGAAATTCAACCATGGAATTTTTTATTCATTACAGTTTTCGGCCTTTGTATTAGATTCGTATAAACTTTGATCGTATAAAACTTATTAATCGTATTAGTATCAACCAGCAATTGTGAGCTTGGAAGATCCAATTTTTACAATTTTTTCCACGTATTATATTTTGCAGCAGCCTTTTACATTTTAAATTACACATATGGTTTTGTCTTTGCATACCTACTTTAGCCGGTAAAAAATATTACGCATCTTCTCCACTTTACAAAATCGGGTATTACAGCTGCTGCTGCTCCACAAATGCATACTAGCGGCATCTTTCTTAGCCGTATTTTTTTCACCTCGTCTCAAACTTTTTTTAAAAAAAAATGATCTAAGAAAAATAAGCATGAGTTAAAAACTAAGTCTTTTTTCATGAAAATTAAAAAAACTTGAAAACTACGGAAGATATGAACCGTTTAGCAGCTTCCCTTGAGCTCTGCCGGCAACAAAAATGGCTGTTTGGTGCAAAGTATCTACTTAAAAGTGCGGCAAACAATAATTGAAAGGAAACAAAGTGCAACATTTTTCTTATTTCTTCCTTATTTCGTTTGTCTTTTTCACCGACTGTTAACCGTTACTCACCTACAACAAAGCAAACAAGATGTCACTTATTCAACATTTTTATTATTTTAGGAATGCAAGAGTGGCTCATGTAAATGGAGGCGCAGGAGACCAGTATGCGTATGCGATCAATGATAATAGTGCTAAACCTTCTCGTCTAACTGGTCCCTTTAAATTAAATACAACTTCTGCCATAGTTAAAAACTGTGATCGATTCTGAAATAAACTGAATAATTGTTACTAAATAAAAATTGTACGAAGCAACACTTTATCTGCATGCCAAAAGAACTACTGCAACAGGTGCGATAATCAACTTTCGTTCTTGCAGTAAATGTCGATTGAATTATTGAAAATATTCAAAATTAGCAGGTCATTAGACTGAAAAGTATCTCTATAATTCTCATTGTTAGGCAATGAAATCAGGTACGACAGATGTGTCAATCTTTGAAGAGGCCTCTGTTTCTTTATTCCATTTTAAGCAAGACTTGTAATTGGTTTAAAAGCTCAATAATCCGTCAAATCTCTTTCCAATCTTATCACTGTAATATGACATGAGCGACAGACTATTAAATTGCAGTTTTGATTAAACTTTCTGTTCCCTATTTGCGTAGAAGTGTCAGAGGGAAGCGCAATAAGAAGTCATCAGGAACATTTTGCTAGTTTTTAGAAACAGCTAAAATAGTCAAAAGCTGTCGTTCTACTTTGTTTATCGTAAATATACTTTAGAACACTCTTTCCCTAGCTCCTCTTTTTTCTCTTCTTCTGGTTCATGAACCCGATAAAGACATTCTTAAAGACACACAGTTGAAGTTGTCATTCAAATGTTTCTCCTTTCTTTTATAGCTGCCATTAATTTTTCACCGCTGAACCCGTTAGTGTCGTTGAAAGAGCGAGAAGAAATAATGTACCAAGTGTTCTTGCTAAATTCACGTACGTCTGGCAATTACAGTAATGTCTACTGAATTCTAGTTATCTGTCAGGAAGTACCCTTCGGCGTGGTGCAGTGCCTGAGCAGTTGCCTAGCAGAGTCACTAAGTGTTCAGTTCGGCATAAAAAAAGCTTTTTTCAAGCTAAGAGTACTTTAGTCAGAAAATTTTTTGGCATTTTACTTCCTTTTTTTCCTGACTTTTACCGAGAAATTGTCTTGTTTTAAGCTTTTAGTGATAAAACGCTTCAGATATAAATATTTACAGCAAA